GAAAAAGAAAATAAAACCTAACAAGTCAGATGAAAAAGCAGAAGTCAATACTGCAGACAGACAGGCAGGAAAGGGAGAAGGAGTAGAATACGAAACATCTCATTGACACGTTCTATTGTGAGTTTAGGATACAGTGGCTACTGTGCCCCTAAGGTCTTGTGCAGAGACTTTCAGCTACTCTCTGACTTACCCAACTTGCTGAAAAGCACGGCAAATTTGCCCACATTGGGATGCTGGGCTCTGTATGTTATGCTGTGGTTTTCTGTAACCTGTACTCCCCAAGTACACATGCCCAGACTTGCAAGAAAGATCAGAAATACACGTTGTGCAAAGAGTTAGGTAAACATTTGCCAGCTTGCTACATGCATAAAGGCTTTACATTTCATCTACATCCATACATTTTGCCTCCAAGATGTTTCCTGCAGTAAACAAGTGTGCTTTCCCTAAGCCTTGCTTATTAATGAGGATTCCCAGATTTGCATTTCTTCAGCAGGCTAAGGACAGGGGACATAAGGTCTAGGGAGACAAATAGGTCATTCATTCCTGGACTGCTCCTTGATTTTGCAAGATGCAGACAAAACCGTCAAGAAATAAATGTGTAATATTTAAGTAGCACTGAAGTGAGGGGAAGGATGACTTTTTCTTTTTTGGAGAACCTCCTTAAAACAAGTGCAGAAGAAGAAAAAACACAAAATTATGGTGGTGCTAATACTATGAAGAAAGAAGCTCAAGTGCACAGAGATACCCTGTGAAACAAGCTTGGATTAGACAGACTCCTAAACAGTACAAATGCAATCGCTACATGGATTTAAGAACACTGAAAGATGAAGATTTTGTTTACTGCAAATACTTTTTTATGTACCTTAATGCCCAAAAGTAAAATAGAGGCTGGATTTATTCTGAAACATGGCCAGGAATTTTAAAACAAGCTTTTGTACACACAAACAAAGGGAGCATGGGAAACAAGAGCTTGTGAGTTACTTACATGTCAAGGATTACAACGTAGCAGGTAAAACTGAAATGTAGCACAGGGGCTCAGTTTCATAAATGAAATGTCATGGCTGAGGGGTACAAATTGTATAAGAAAGATGGAAAGGGAAACCGAGGTGGCACTTTGTCAGATGCATTTATAGCTGCAGCAAGATACAGTTCAGCTGAAAAGTAGTAAAAAAAATAAAGAAAAACTGAAGTGGTCATCTGCTACAGCCCCCTCCAGCAGTGAGAAAGCTGGAACGAATTATTCTCTCTCAAGTTACTCAAAGCCACAGGACACTGTACTTGTGGGGAATTCAGCTGTCCCCATTTCTTTTAACAAGTACTGCCAAACACTGGCCAAAGATGTTCACCTGTTACACAGAAACCTGCTCTAATCCAGACAGTACAAGTCCTTGACAAATAAACCAGAAAAATCCCCCAAACCCAGGTACTTAAGCACAGAAAACTGCAAGTGACACCAATGAACAAAGTATCTAAATGTAACACAGCAGTTTATTTGTTTGACTTAGAAAAGGTCTCTGGCATAATTAACTGGACACATATACATTAAATATACAAATACATACTAAAAGAAACCCAGAGGGCACACATTCAGCCAGGAGTCTCACTCTGAACCACTCACCATTTCACGCCAGAAATAAAGAGCCATGAGCCCCAGCTTTGTAACTTTCTGTCCAAAACCAGGACCGCAGTTGAAGGCCCCACAGATCAGCAAACCTGGGCTAACAAGCCAAGGAGTAAAGAGATGAAGAGCAAGCTCTTGAGATTGTACAGGGTCAGGACACAGAGGCCAAAGACAGTTAATCTGATTCTTTTTTTTTCAGGCAAGGACCAAATGACAGCTTATTCGAAGACTGCTGTACCAGAATTCCTAACCACTGCTCTTTGTCCCTCTGACCCCCAGCACCGCCAACCACATTTTATCTGGAGAGCGAGAGAGGTTCATTTTACAGGTCACAGCTTCAGGTTTCTAGCGCTCATTAAGAACCACAATTAGCAAAACTAGTCAAAATAAATGTGGTCACCTCACCCAGACTCACTTCTGTTGCCATAGGAGCAGCCAAATAGTCCAAGTTCAGCTGATCTTATCGTCAGGGAGGAACGAGTTCCACCAGAGCCTGAAACATCCACTGGATCAACAAGGCTTCATGCATCCTCAGAGTCATGATGAGTTTAAGGAGCAGATTTATATCATGCAAAAAAGCAAGTTTGTTCTCTCAAATTAAGTAATTAAGCAGTGCGTGATAAGCCTAAGGAATTCTACTAGCCTCTGGAGTCAAGGCATGAGACTGACTTCCATGGAAAGAATTTAAAAACGAGTGAACACTACCTTTCAGGAAGTGGTGTGGCAATGAAGAAGACCAACAGACAAGAGACTCTCTGGAAAGGAGATCCTGTTAGTTAACAAGGTTAAAGAAAAGTGCTCTGACATCTTTCATAGGAAAGAGAAAGTAAAGCACATTAATACACAAGCACAGAAGGAAGTGAAATCAGCCTCTCAGACTATTTGTGAAGTCATTTCCCCAAGATGAAGCAACAAAGACATAAACCCAAAGAGACAGAGGACTTCCTGGAAAACCTGACCATATATATCAACGTGGTACTAATTAGTCAATTAACCTATTGCACAATTAAAAAAATAAATATTCTGAAAGCCTGTGAGAACAAGGAAGCACCAGTTGAAAATGTTCTTATAGGAACAAAAAGCGGAACAACATTGGCCTGATAAATTTATCTCTGATCTCTGCTAACAATGTGAAATAAATACAAAGAGAGAAAAAAAGAAGTCTCCAAAAGCTTGGAGAGTAACCAAAGTACAGCAAAAATCAAGCCACTTTCAACAGTCCTACAACCACACAAGTTGCTTTTGGCACATGAGCCGCACACATGAAGTCAACAGGATAACTCAGGTATTAAGTTACTTCTACATCCAAATGGTGGTGTCATTTCCAACACCTTTTTTTTCCCCGTTACCAGGAACAATTTTATAAAACACTGCTCATAATATGAGCTGACAGACCCAGCTGTAAAACTACAACTTGTTCACAGAAGGCTATATAGAATATTATATAGACAGCAAGCATTTAATCCACTGAGTGAGGATGAGTATGCTTAACAGAGGGCACAATACCTTTGGTATTTGAGGGTCTCAAGACACTCCGCAGGATAATCACAGTAAACCAGACCTGCTTGCTGTTCAAGCTAAATACACTTAGAGGGAAGGCAATTAATCAATCAGTCAGTTAGTCAATCAATCAATTGCATTTTATCATCAACCACAGACAGCTGTTTGAGTGTAACAACCACTACTGCAACCCAGCACCTGGAAGAGTCTTTAGAACAGCTTGTTCTGTATTGGGGGAGTGTATCAACTGTCTTTGCCGTGAACTCGTTGTGCAATGAGATGGTTTCTCTAAACAAAAAAGTAAAAAAACTAAACCTGTGTTTTTCTGATGCTTGAATATCTTTTTGGCTAGCAGGTATGTTAGCTTTCAGGTATCTTCTTACAATTGGGATCTATTTTTCTTATGTATCGCAAGAGGGCTTATTTATGACAGCAGAGTATGTAATTTGGGTGGCAAGAAAGGAGAGTGAAGCATCAATCTGCACACTGCAGAAATGAAAAACAATCTGCTTCTCCACTCCGTGAGTAGAAGTGGAAAAGGGCTAGTGAACGAGAGGACAGAGGTGTCAGTCAGATCCCATATAATGAATAGCTACAAGCACTGTGAGCTTGCAACTTGGAAAAAGTGATGACTGAGGACATATATGATATAGGTCTGTAAAATCATGAGTGGCAAGGAGACAAGGAACAGGGTTGGTTATCACCATGTCTGACACTGTGAGAACTGGATCACTGAAGGAAATCATTGAGAAAACCATTACAACAGGCTGACAACAGTTCCTTTTTGTACCACGTAATGAACTCAGGGTTTGTTTGATGCAGATCACTGTGGAGGCCAAAAGTAGAAAAGGATTTTTAGAAAGGGACTGAGTGCATTAAGGCCAGGTCCAGAAGGAACTACCAGTTCAGAAAGTCCATAATCTGCTAGAATGGTGTCAGAGAAAGATCTCTGTATACAACCTTTGTATTTTATGCTTCTGTGATCACCTGTTACTGGCTATTCTCAGAGACAGGATAGCAGATGAGATGGCCTTTGATCTGATTGCACACAATTCTTCTTATGGATCAAAGCTCTCAATTTTAGCATGATTTAGAGTTTGGAAAGGTTAACTTACTTAAAAAAAAAAAAAAGGCCATTTGGAAAGCTTGCATGCCTCCTCTTCTTCTTCTTTCAGCTCTCAAAGATGTGCTCCTTAATCATTCAGTTTCTATGAATGGTAAAGTACTGCTGAATTAGGAACAAACAGGATTTTCTAACAGCCACTGAAGTCTGCATTATTGCTCCCAGATTCTACCTAGTCCCCCTTATAAGGTACTTTTCCTAACCCAGTCTGAACTGGAGTTTGAACATCCCCCTATAGTCAATTTTTCCTATTTACTAAATTCTTGCTAAATTACTTTGTTTGACTGCTATATTTATGATATGAAACAGTACAGATACTAATCTGTTGGCTTCTTGTTAGGTAAACCCTTCATCCAGACCACTCATTTCTGCATCGGTAATTGACAACAGGAATCTACAGGAAGAATCCTAGTGGACAAAGGATTGCTACATTGTCTGTAAACATCCTTATTTCACCCAGAATTTGCCACTTCGATTGGATTTAGCCTCCCAGCCAGTCAGACCAATACATTTTTGCAGTGCAGTAGAGTAAACAATGCAACACAGTGATTCCTAGTCTGTAGCTAGACAGACTGAAGTAGCAGCATAAGTAAGTCAGAAAATCTTCTGCATTTATCTGGACACAGAGCGAGCTCTGAGACCAGTCATCACAGTTGTTTTTATATGTAAAATATGTGTGCACACAGACATATGGACTAACACATTCATCACTAACCCTCATTTAAGGGACCGACCATCCAAAGTCTAAGCTTCACCCAGTAAATGTGCTTTAACTGGGGGTGCCAGATGCATCCAGGACTGTGCAGTGGCTTTACAGACCCCAGCATGAGGATATGGCTGAAGGTTCAAAATCAATTAAGAAGTTACTGTTCCATCTTGTTCAGTCTTCAGTTCTCCAGACAGTCCTTCCAAATCAAGATAACACACAGGCAGATTGTTTGTTTTTATCACTCATAGTGGAGTTTGGATTCAGGTTACCTGGAATGAAAAGAAGTTAAAGTAATGTTAATGTTAAGTAAATAGGATGGGGATAAAGTTTGGACTCACAGTTCACTCTCATTATTTACTGTAAACCTTATGTTAGACCTACATTACTCTGCACTCTCTCATGGCTTTTTTTCCTACTGCAATGTAATGAAGAGACGTTAAAGTAAGAGCAAATGTAGAGTATACTGTGAAGAAAACTACTGGAGAAGTATTTCCAGATTTTAGCTTGTACCCAGGTTAGCCTCAGTGGTATTCTCAGGTCCAAGTTGGCATTGAAAAATAGTCTGACCATGCCTTGGGTGGTAGGTTTTCCAAAGAATGAGGTATAGGAAAAAAAAAAAAAACCACACACACACACAAAACAAGTGAGGTCACCTCATCTATTTGATACCCACACACATTTTCAGTAGAATTTTTTTTCACATTTCATTTTAAACATCTCAAGTACCACTATTTCAACCACTACTTTTGCAAGACAAATCCCAAGGCCTCAGTTTTCTGGCTCAGTTTTTTATAATCTTAGGTTTTTTTCAAAGCTTACTCTGTGAATTTCTTTTGCTCCCAATATCTGTACTTTTCCACGTTTGCACTTCTCTCTGGTCTCCTTCATTACAGCCAGATGTTGGTCTAGATGCCCCAGCATATTTTTTTCAAGTACAAAAGTGTGTTCTGAGGCTTTTACAAGTAAGGGAGCTCATCTGTGCTCTGAGCTCAGCAAAGCTTACATGACCAGGGCAGTAGGCACTGAGAGGTGATGCCATGTGGCTTGCAATCACTCTGAACAAGGGCAGGTCCCACTCATGCATCTGTACAGAAGGAAGGTGTATGTGCATCTCCCGAGCAGTTAAAGCCAAATGCCATTTCTGAGTGAGAATAGGGAGGGAAGACTACCATAGGTCATGGTGACATGCCACTGAGAGGTCTCAGCCTTACTAAGTTTAGGGAGCTTTCAACCCAAGCACCACTTCTGAACTGGGCTTCATGTGAATAACTTTTAATGTCACTGTCTTGCTTGTCAGTATTTGATCAATTTTGTCCTTACCTGTAGGTAATAGGGAAGAGGAGAGCTCTCTCCTCTCCAACTCCTTCTCTCCACTCTCTTCCACACTCCATTTTCTTGATATTCACATGGGATGTTGCACTGCAACCTGCCCTTCCTTCTGTGGCTGCTCTGTATGCTACTGCCTCCTCCCCACATCTCCCCCAAGCATTTCCTTCTACCTGTCCCCACTCTGACGCATCCTGCATGTCACTACTAAGTTTATCATTACTCCTCACTACCCCTCTTCCCCTCCCTGTCTGTATCACGTCCAAGACCTTTGAGTTTAGTTTCAAAGGTGTCTGTGCTCTTCTGCTTAATTTTAATTCCCAACTCCTTTATTCTTCTCACTATCTACTCGTCTTCTAACCTTTTCCTACAGATCCCACTACAGATCCCAAGAGCAAACACCCTCCTTGTATGTACCCAACAACGTTCCCCTCTTTCTTTCAGTTACCATCCATCCCTCTGTGATGTTACCTTGGCTGAAAAACACTGGGGAGAACTATGCAGCTATTTCAGTAGTATTGCAGTAGCCAGTGTAAATCCCATTTATTGTTGCAAGAAGCACCCCAAAGTAAAACACAAAATCCTGCTATTAAGGATATGTGTTCTGCAACCATCGCTCATGAGGAGTGAAGGTTGATGTACGAAGCAACTCAGAACAGCAGTCTCTTCTGAACGAGCCCGCTTTGCTATTTCCAAGAGAGAGCTCAAAGCAAAAAGTCAGTGCCTTCCCAAGGCACACAGCCTTCAAACCTCTGCAGTATTTCCCAGAACCTGCACAGAGATGCCAGTGTCTTGGCTGATCACAGTCTGCCCAGCACCAGCTTAAAATTAACAAGATTCTGGTCAGGTTCAGAGCTGCTCTTGGGTTCCTAAGACGGCAAGAGTGAAATTCAAGTGTTCTGTCAATTTGATGATGTGGTTTATGAAAGCCTTGTAAGACATAGCACAGGCTCCATGCAGTGTGCTAGGACAACACCTGAGGGTGTGGATTCAGATACTTAGTTTAGAACAGTACTATCTGTAACCCTTGTATTTTCCTGACTCCCAATTCTGACTTGCAGGTATCCTTTTCTAGCATGTAAATCCTGCATCAGATTTTTAGACTCCATCACAGCATACACTTTCCTCACTTCCCTTCCTGGTTCAGATTCTCTTGGTCACTATTTGCTCCTACAAGACTGAATCTGACCTTTAGCCTGCTTGAATAATGTCTTTCAATTGCTCTGTGAGCTACTTGAGGTGTGGATCTGGTCTCTCTCTGCGTTTGCAAGGTGGGATGTGTCTCTATGGCACTACAGAATTAATAGTGACTTTGGAGGATGTGTGCACAGGAAGGCCCACGGGGCTTAAGTGTGCTGTTTAATCTTTACAAAAGGTAAGGGCAGCTATTTCAAACTGTGAAGCTCTGAATAATTGCATCCTAACCTACCTGCATACCAAGTATTTCCACTTCTTACCTCCCTTCTGTCACCCAGAGTATCACAGCATCAGTTTTTACTAGTCCTGCTCAAAGACAATTTAAACTTTTAACACTAAGTCAGCCCTACAGTTACCCAGGAACAAAGCGCCTCCTATCTTTATTTTGAAGCTGGAACTCTGTTCCATGCCCATGTGCAGGAATTTTTTTATCAAATGCTAATGACATATGTGCTACTGATCAAGCAGCTACAGGATCTTCTGAGTGACACAATTTTTTTCTGTTTCTCATAAGCCTCCATCTTGCTAATGTGACCTCTACCATCCCTGTTCACATGCCACTTTGGGACCATTAGACTTGAGAAGCTTTCTCTCAAGAACAGTGATTCAATTCAAAAGCAACATCCAAGCAGTGATCTTCCTCCAGCCTTTTATGACAACACGTGACTGAAGTCTACTTACACCATACTTCAAAAGCTGTGGAGTCTCCTGCTGTCACCATGAACAGGCATTCTCAATTTGCATAAACCAAAAATACAAGCAAGGACTCACTGGAAAGATTTATCAGGTCAGAAAAAATATGGGATGGGAAAGGCTGATGAGCTGGACCTCAGCACCCTCCCTGCACCTCTTCTCAGTCCTTCCTTCCCCTTTATTGATAGAGGTGGCAGCCCAGACGAAGTAATGGTGGCAATAAATAAAACCTGAACATAATAGCATGATAGTGTCTTTGTGGAAATGGTCTAGACCAAGCATCAGACTGTCTGGCACAGATACTCTGTGTTAAAAGAAACAGGGACATTCCTGCTGCCCGGACTGTGTAATGCCCCAGAAGGGTGCAGTGCCCCACTGTTCAGCTGGAGACATCAATCTCTTTCATGCCTTAACTTGGCCCTAATTTCATTATGGCACTGCAGGAATGGCAGGCTGTGTACTTTAAAACAGCTGATGGTGAGAAATGCAGTGAATCTCTGATAAAGTGCTGACAAATCAGAGGTTGCACAATTCTCTTCTTCTGTCACTAGAGGGTAGTGCAAGCCCTCAGGTCGATTCCTCCGAGAGGAAATGCCCATACATCTCCCTATAGGTCTTCACCGATTTTGGTTTTCCTGGCTGAGTAATGGGGTCCACCAGCACATACTGTCTGTGCTCAAGACTGTCATTGGGACAGAGGACCTCTTTATACCAAGGTTTACTTCTGCCACCCCAAATGCCAAACACACATTCTAAAATGGGTCTACTATAATCTTAAATAAATTATCCATGCCTTCTAACCGTTCCTCTCTTGTGCTCATTTGGCATTTTGAAGTCTGCTTCATTCAGCCAGAAATATTTCTAAGAACCTAATCAAGCGCTGTTGCTGACCTTCCCAATACCCTGCTTTTCTTTTTGGTCTCAAGAGAATGTCTTTCCATTTCACATCATGGTAAGTTTCAAGGGAATTCAGTCTCTCTATGCCTGCATTTCACATTCATCAGAGCACAGAATGGTCTCTGGCCAGACAAGTTGAGGAGAAATTTTCTCCCTGCAAGTAGTTTATTTTCCTGCTGGTACAGGATGTAGACACCCAACACAGCTCACTGAGAGGAAGACAACCCAGCTGAATAGTCCAAAGATTTACTTCAAACTCACAAAATATGTTGGGGAGTTAGCTATGAACACCACAAATTGGTAAAAGTCTTTATCATTTGTATCTTCAACTGACTGAAGCCTTGGAAGGACTTAATGAAAATATCAATCCTATGTTATCAAAGAAAGAAAAGTTGAGATCTAGTGATCTACTGTGTAGTATCTGTTTCCATGACCTTCTCCCTCATTTCAGAAGGTGATCAAGGAGCAAATTAAAAAGACTTTTGAACCCTTTCCTCCACTCCTTTTCCCCTCAGCTCAATATAAACACATTTTTCTCTTTTCTCCACCAAAAACTTGTCACAGTAAATACACCCAACCAACCTCTAATGAGGAGAGGAGGGATTACACTGGAAATCTGTCTGTGCCCTGCTAGCCACTACAATAGTGAACATTCTCTTTGTCCCATACCCACTTGAAGTATGAGAAACACCTACATGAAAATTGCCAACTTGACAATTAGACTGCCATTAAATTGCTTTCAATTTAAATTACCTGTATCATTTGATACAGCTTCTACTTTTTGATCTTGCTCATTTTGATACAGAGGAAATAACAGGATCTACTCACGGGTATGTTTTGTATCAATCAGCCAAACTCATAACAAGGGACGCAGAAAGCAGAGTATGCTGGTAAAAGGTTTTACCTGAGATGCCTCCAGTGCTACGAACGCTAGCATGGCCAATGCTGAGCCGCTCATATTCCAGTTTCATGTTGCCAAGGTCTTCTCCTGAGTGTCCTTCACTGGCAAAAGAATTGGCCTCAATGCTTGAGCCTGGAGACCGTTTGGCCTTGCGACTGAAAAGCCCACTGGCAAACCGTTTTCCTTGCTTTGAATTGATCTGTGCGTCTTCTTTCTTCACGTCACGAATAGATTCTCTGGATTTGGATTTATTTTTCAGGTCCATGTGGAGCCGGGACAACAGTTTCTGAGGGCTCCGATTCAGCTTGTTCAAGTTCTCCAGAGGGGGATCTATTTCTGGGAACACTTGCTCCAATGTGACTAAGTCATTTAGAAACTGATTTAACCGCTTCTTTGACTCACTTGTTTCCTCCTTTTCCATGTTTCCCTGATTATCTTGCCTGTGGCGTGAAGCCCAGAGCATCATATCACCACGGGTTGCTCCTGCAACTAAACCATACTTGGGGTTGATGAACTTCCGAGCCACAGTGGAGGAATGAAGGCCTGGCTTCCCAATTCCAAGAAGGAATGGATTAGCAATACCCAGTTCCTTGTATAAATTAACTTCCTCTGAGATGGCATAGAGCTCACGAAACTCAACGTCAAACATTTCCACATGCTGTCCTGTCAAGACTAGCAGGATGTTTCTGTCGATGTGGGATGAAGTCCACGTGAAGCTAAGAGGAGGAAACAGAACCAGCGTTAGAGTTGTGGGTGCATACTTGACCCAGCTCTCCTAACAAAACCTAAGACACTACATGGGAACATGCATCATTGTACCATTATCCCACATCCTTGGCAAGATGGGTCACAACAGATACAACAACATTATTGTCCTTCTTTAGGCATGCAGACCAGATCTGGAAGACAAGGCTGTAAAACTCTGAAGGACAGTTTATGCTTTTAAAAAAGCAACATTGCATCAGGAGCCTCCGGACTGAAAATGTCACTGAAGAGAACTGAGCACAGTGACTGGTGGGGAGTCCTTGCAGACTCCCACCTGATGCAGTGTGGAACTCTCTCTAGCCCACCGAAATGGTCTACCAGCATGGGTATGTTCCACTCAGAAGCAACTTGGGCTCTATTGCACCTTCTCTGTCGTCCCATTCCAGTTTCTACAGATGCCACACAGATTACAGAAGCTGGGATATGAAAGAGTATGACATGAAAAAAACACTCTCAAGCAAAGTCACGAGCCATTCTTTACACAAATGCCTTAATGCCTTAACCAAGTGTGACCCACCTGTATGATCCAGTGGCCACCTTTTCACCATCCACCATTAAGAATCGGGATGCCAATGTGCCTCTGATCTTCCCTGATGGCATGTAGAACCCAACTCCTGTCACAGAACGTACGCGGATATTCTAACAGGGAGGTGAAGAGACAAAATGTCACAATAAAATAGGACAGATAATCAGATAATTGCCAGCTCCAAGTCTTAACACGTCACTCCCATTATTTCACTACTTTTGGGACTACAGCTTATTTTGTATAAGCCACCAGAAGGCCTGCAGAAAGGAAAGCACTGTGCCATAAGACCTGCTGTCATCCCCTGTCTGTGCAGGTTACTCCTCTCCCTCAGTTTATAGCCCTGACCAACAGGTCAGCCTCTTAGTAACCCAGCCTGCTGTCTTCTGCTATTCATCTGAGCCCACTGGCAAGACATTGCTGTCAAAATCAAGTAATCCTCCATCCCCGGTCTTGTGCTGTAGCTTGGAAGGCCCAGCCCAGTTTAGGGGAACTAAGAAAAAGCTCTTGAGTTACATCTGCACTCATGAGCTCTTCTCCAGATTATGATAGCAGAACCACAAAACCAAAGAACTCCACAACACCTGTGCAGTACAAAGGCCACAGTTTCTTGGAAGGTAATGCATGAGACAGGTCTGCATTAGGTTATTTTTGTGCTTGCATTCCGATTCCCAACAACACATGGCTTGACAAAACTGACCAAATTAGAAGAACGGACAATTTAATTATTAGAGAGGAGGAAACAATTCCATTGCTTAAAAGACAGATGTTTCCTGTCTAACAAAAGGAGAACCTTTATAATTTTGCTAAAATCCCCCAAATAGTTATGGTGTTCACCCAGCTCCCCTGTTGTTCAACGGAGAGTGAAAAACACAGAAATTTTTTTGAACAAAAGGAGTAGGATGAGTGTCTCTACCAATGTCCTGAATAGATCAGCAGAAAAGAATTTCTGAAGAAGAGGAAGGAAAAACTTTTCATAAAATGAATGGAAGTAGACAGAAAAAGAATACCTCTCCCCAAACCTCACGTCTCATACCCTTTGGACAACAAAACTACAGTTAATAAAATAGAGCACTACCAAACACAGAAAACCACAAAAGTTAAGGTTACATGATTTTCAACAATAGATGTGTGCCTGAACATACTATAAGGACATAGAAACACATTGGACTGAGTGTTACTCTGCTCATGGGCCCTGGCTGCGCGAGGCTGAGTTGCCAAAGTGTCTAATACGAAACATCTTCCCTTCCCCCCACCCCAAAGCATTAATTGTCAGTGTAAGTTTGGAGCAAATAATCTTGTCACTCTGATACACAAATCTAGACAATTTTCCTCATTCCACCATCTGTTTCTGTAAGGATTCTTTAACAATGAAAAGTCAAAAGGTACTGTGAACTGGAGTCATAAATCCAGGGCTGGGAGTCAGGGTAATCGCAGTTCTGACACTATTCCCTGTGATATTCTGGGAAAGTCAGTTCACCCTTGCCTCATTCTTCCCTCATCTGCAGAGCAGAAGAATCAGGAGGATTTGGCTAATGCTAGCACAGCCTCAGATCCCACAAAGAGCTAAGTCCTATTATTATAAACCTCACTGACAGCTTAAATATTGATAGGCCATAGAAATCAGCATGCAGGAATGAGTGATTATAAGAATGCAGATTTCTTTCAAAAGCCATTTTTCCGAATATAGCTCTTACCTTTTCAATCTGCTCCTATTTCCCCCACTAAAATATAGCAGTGGCAATACAAATTCTGACTAACAGTAACTGATGATACTACTGTTTTGCATTCATCTATTGCTTGATCTGTCTGGAGTCCTGTGTGGGCATTAGCTAATTAATGCTCCCAACACTGCTGAAAGTATTATTACCCTGTTTTAAAGATGAGGAGCCTAAGAGAGAAAAAGATGAAGTGACTTGCCCAAGGCCTAGCAGTGAGTCATATGTGTGGGATGCTGAATGCAGGTTGGGTAGAGCACAAGAGAAAGGATGCCCTTTCCAGTAGTTAAAATAACATTTGCAGTTGACTGGCTGATCACCTGAGATAATTTTTTCTCCTTGCTGATTAATGTTAGATGTTGGATTTGCCAAATCATGGAATATCAACTGCAAGTGAAAAGAAGGGCCTCGTTCTTCAAAATCAGTCAACAGCTCTGACATGGCATGTACCTTTGTGAATCAAGAATTATAAGCCTCTATGAGCAGAAAGTTTCTTAGCATGTAACAAGAGTGGATTTTATTGTGTTTGTGTGTTCTATCACCTTCAGTGGAAAGAGAGTACACTTGAATTTCTGTGGTGACTGAGCTGCACATAACACTTAAAAAGGCACAGAGGGGATGGAACTGAACAGCTGAATACATAAACCTCCTTGAACAAAGTAGGTACAGGAGTGCATAAATACATCTTGAAATGCAGAAAACAAGCACAAAGTCATATAAACATCAAGTCACTTAACAGGTTATTTGTATAATGTTTTCTGCCTTCAAGCATCTTGGAGCATTTGTAGACTGCGATATCCAGCTGAACAGAGGAAGATCGAGCCTGGGTTCATGCACTAAAGGCTGCACAATAATAAAAGAGGAAAGACAAATATAAATGAGGTGAGATTGCTGGCATTTTTGAGGGGCACTAGTGTTACAGCAGTAACAAATATTTTGGGTAGAGAACCAGTTAGCTCACCAGATAGAAGTGACCCCTCCAAATCTCTGTTCTTGCAGAAGCCTGATTAAGGTTTGTTTTGGCTTATGGAAGCTTCAGTCTGCATTAAATTTCCACATTTCCTTTACACAGACTTGCATCACTCCTCATCACAAGCAGTGACTAACATCTCCCTGGCTCTAACTTCATACAGACTGGTAACAGTCAAGCCTGACTGAGCATCCTAATACAAACAGTGAAGGAATTGGTCTTTCTTGCTTTATTGTGACACACTTTTTTAAACCTCACCCTGAACCCACAGAAAGCTAAATTAGACCCAGTTTAGAAAGTCAGTAATGCTGTGACTGACACTTAGTTGTCACTTGACAGACCTGGGCAGTAGTGCTCACAAACTGGGCTGAGTAGTGAGGTGTTGTAAGTGCTTCCACCAGGGAATCCTGTGCATACCTTCCCTCTTAGAACAATTGCTGATATATAGGTTGCAAAGCAGGTGGGGATCTCTATTTCAAATTAGGATAGATGGCACTAGTGACCCCTACAAACTGAAAGATGTGAAACATATTAAGGAGAGGCAACAGACAAAAGCAGTAGCTGAGAGAATAATAGTGACTCAACTCGTATTGACTGTTTTTCAAAATGTGGAGATACCCTTTTTGCTGTCCCTGTGAAATTCAGATCCCTTCAGTCAATAGAATCTCTTGGGGTACCTCCTGTCCTTTGTTTCACCTGAGTGTCCTACTGCTTCACCTGAGCACAGGACTGAGGGGAGTCACCAGATGCCCATTATTTCTCCCTTTAAATCCTAGATGGAGGTACCACAGAAGGAGGGGGAATGAGAGAGATGGGATTCCTACGGACAAGACCACAGAAATGGCAGTAAAGGATTTTTTCTTATTTATGGTCTGCAAGAATATAATTTCTAATGATCAGACCTCTGGGTCAGAGAGATGGATGGCAGCAATTCATCTTACACAGGGACATAAAAGCAACCACAACTGGAAGCATACATCGAGCAGTGCTAGGAAATACTGTGGATTTATTCGGTGTGTTTGGCCTGAACAGCTTTGGAAAAAGCATGCTTATTGACAAAGTAGAGCACCTTGCAAGTATTCAAGTAGAACAGGATGAAACGTGGTTAGCTAGGACCTGGCCTACCAAAATCATTACTGGGTATTATTTATTTGTGTCTTGGCAAAAAGAAGGCCTGGTAAGCTCCCATCTTCAGGAAGTCACAAGCAGACTAGAAGAGTTCTCTAACAGATAATTAAAAAACCAACAACGCTGCATCATATCACATTCAGCTTCTCCCTCATCAGATCTAGGGATCGATGATGAAAGACATGAAATACTGATATGAAATTCTCAAAGTTTCTTAGGCAGAAACTTTTCAGACTTCCTGGAGTGAGGGGAGAACTCCTTCCTTGTTTGGAAAATGAATGTAAAAAATAACACGCAGGTGAACTTCCTGCAAGTAACTAGTCCCCTGGGCTTGCTTGGAACTCTGGGAGAACTCCCTGTCTGTTATTGTGGTCTTGGTTAACAGAAGCATAGGGAGAAAAAGCACTTATCTAAAAACTAGGGAGAACATTAACCCTCAGGTCAAAAAAATTAAAAAAAAAAGAGGAATTTTTGAGGGGCTATGAATTTTGTATGTATGAGAACTTTGATTCATGGTGATCTCCGATCAGAACCCTCTCGTGTCAAATGTAACAGAAATCATGTCCTGTAGGCTCAGGAGATATGACTCATACACATAGGAAGCGCTCTTACTAACAACCCCTGAACGTGCTGATGGTTGAATTTAAATGCACCTCTAGTGAACTCTGGTCTTCAAACAAAAATTGAGGTTTTCTCATTTCATGCTTGGAGTTGGTAAAGAACTTTTACTCTTTGCAGAGTCAGGTACTGTCTTCCTACAGCAGTTTCCCTCCCTTGAGACTGTCAGCACATCATGATACCTTGCCATCTCACAGTAATACAATAGCCAGGAATTTTTTGAAAATGCCCAGCATTTCATGTACATATACAAAGGGCAAAATCCAATGTTAAGACTGTATCTCCCTGTATTAGAACCATTGAAGTATTCACTTTGCATTGGATGAACAGGCAATGGAACCAAAAGAGCAGCAATCACAGAACAATATGAGTATCTGGTAGTGACAGAAGACAGAATAAAAACGTTGTGACCCTGCAGCCCATGGCAGTGTGACATATCTCTCCCCTTGGGATCAGAACTTGCCTCTAAACCTTAAATTTATATCCCACATGGCTGCAACTTTCTGAGAAAAAAGCCGTCTTCTGTATCTTGCAGAAGCATTCCAAAGGAAAGGTGGGAAGAACAGCAGGAAAGAAGAGTATGCAATTCCTTTGCTGGCAAACTGTATTTCACTGGTGAAAATCTTCTAGAGGGAAACAAAACAGTAACACAAAATGACCCTGTAAGGAGATAATGCTTTCCCTGTAGAAGAAACTCACATCAAAGCAGTTGTCAGGAGAAAGACATGTCATAGATAAGAAATGGGTGAACGATAGAGTTAACTGCATTACAGTTCTCATTCTTCCTCAGCAATTCCAACATCCTCTGTGAGCGAATAACATGGGACAAAATGATTCTACCTGAAGAAGACCAGAGGCCCTTTCCTGCTTTAAATCTGGGTCTTCAGTATTTGGCATGTTATATTAATGAGGTAGGGTTGGGGGCAGTCCTCAAGGGGAAGCATTAACCTTGCTTGAGCTTCCTTGGGTATCTAAACTCTATTGTTAGGTCAATCGCTATACGATGGTTTCTGCTACCCTGACCCAAGCAGCAGCATATAGATATATCCAAAGCAGCTGTGGGTAGGATTCCAAGAGCGCATGTTCCTTGAGAGACGAATGACATGTTTCCCCCTTCCAGGAAGAATCTTCTCAGTCCTTCCAAAGTACCATATACAGGAATTAGCTGCACTGGCCTTAACAAGATTAGCAAAACCCTTAGCTGTACTGGAAAGGAAATAGAACAATCTTAAGAGGAATTTAAGATAAAGTATGAGATAGCTGGGAAAAGAGGGGGAAAAGTTGAAGGGCAGCATTCTGTGTGCTGATGCTCTGCAGAAGAGTGAACAACTAGGTCAAAGGACATAAAAAGTTCTTCTCAGTAGACTTTCTTCAGCTCAGTTTGTATTTGTACTTTTTTTTAGCTGATAGAATCTAATAAAAAACATAGCAAGGGCTGCTGTGAGAGAAGGGAACCACAGAAGGGACACAGAAGAGTTTTCTGCTTTTGATGGCATCAGTTTCAAACTCTATCTCTTTGGAAAGGATCATAGAACTAGAGTGCTGCAGGAGCCAGACACTGCTGTAGCATGTCACTGATGATTGGTTTAGGAGTGTAAAGTCTATGTAGACACCTATGGAGAAAGACATAAGAGGAAGAGCAGAAGACAATCACTTACTGTTCAGAGACTGAGAAGGCAGACAAAAAGGAACTCACCTCTCCAATAGCATCACAACTTTTTCTAAAATGCCAGGGCATCTTTTCACTCACTCTATCCAGGAGTTAAAATATGCAGTGCTGAAGACATCGTTCCTGAACATGATGACATGATGAGAAAAGTGCTGGGAAAGAGGTACCAGAGCCAATGGAACTACTGCTGAGATTTCTCAATTATGTACTGAAGAGACTCAAGCCTAGGCCACAGAATATGCCTGACACTTGAAAGAGGTCTGTTATAATGATGTCTGTGTCTTGCTTTCAAAGACACCAGAGGAAAGAAACTTCCATCTCCAATTTGGAGAAAGATGAGAAAGCTTGTTGGTTGGATGGCTTTTTTGATGAAACTCAGACTAGAGTGGTAGTTCACAGTTCATCCAGATTTAAGATGGTTCTCCTAAAATACTGAGAACAGTTGGATCACAAAGAGGGGCAAGTCTGGCATCCCAGAGCTTTTTGCCAACTTAGCAACTTTTTCAATATTTGGAATAAGCCTGTGGTAGTGACAGTGACTAAAAAAACATAGGAAAAAGTAAGGAATACAATACTAACTAGAAACACACAAAGGATTTCAGTCTGTATGTAATGGAGTGAGATTCCTCAGAGGAGTAAAATCCCTTCTACCAGCCAGCCTAGACTGACTACACTGCTGTGCTGCTTGCACTGTATGAAGGCATATTCTGATATGGGGCTGGGCAGCAGCTATGCCCCTCAGTCCCTCAAGTTCTCATGCAAAGGAGGGCTACAAGCTCATTCACTCGAAGATGATCACTGCTGGATAGAAAAGTCTTGATTTCACAGAGGATATGTGTCCTATAACTGGGATCCATGCAGTCATCTCAAAGAGCAACTCTGGGCTGTAGTTCAAATCCTCACACAGAAGACCCACAGGAATTCACTCCAACAATTTTCTTCCCAAACAGGAATTTTTAGGTCACAAGAGCCAAGAAACTACCTAAATCCCTGTCTTAGGTGATCTTATCCCTCTATGTTCCATCAAACCCCATCTAAGAGCTGTGATATGACTTTAGGGAGGGAGAGATGTGTTTGCCTGTCCAAGTGAGTTCCGAGGTTCATTACAACTGAAAAAGGCCACTGACCTGCAGGACATAATGGTTCAGTATTAAATATCTTACCCGGATCTGCAAGTCACTGAGGTCAAGACATCTGCACATTTCCAGGAAAAGCTTCACACTCTCCTCATCTAGGATTATATAGACTGGGATCCAGCGCTTATATGCTGCATCAACGATATCGCGGAAGATGTCCCGGTCTGTGAATACATCCATGACCACTGCAATAATCTGGAAACAAAAAGACAGTAGACAGAAAACCAAATAAAATATTATGAACTGAAAGGAAGGCGCCCCATCACACTGGTGCAAAATAAAGGAAAGCACTGATTTCAGATTACAGAGGAGAAGGATATAGGGTAGATGGAAGTACAGGGATGTACATGTCCAAGCACTACCAATAATCTTAAACTTTTCTCACTTGCCTCCTGCCACACTTTGGAAGGAACTTAATAAAATTGAGTTCTCCTTCTTCTAGGGGAAAATTACTTATTTCAGCAGCTTGAGGAATGCCAAAGCCAAATGTCCAGTTTTTCCTTTGTAAGGATCCACTTAAACAAAGAAGAACACTGAAAATAGATCGAAAAAGAAAACTGAAAACACAACTGAAACACTTCACCTGAAGGTGTGTAATGGAAGAATGAATGTGCAGAGGAATTAGGGCCTGAATCCTCAGTCCTGGTGCATAGGGCAGACAACAAGAATTCTATTTCCCTTTTTTCTCCCAATTCCCTGTGAGAAACCTGCTCTTAGGGCTGGCTTCCCAAGGAATGATTTATGGATTTCAAACGTAAACACCTCATATTTTTCAGGAAGAGACTGGAGCGTGTTCAAGATTTGGAGGCAAAATGATCATTCCCTCTCTTCACATGCGATGTTTTTCTGGTATAAAACTCATCCCTCTTTCTGGGCATAGATTTTATGTAAAACAAAAGGTCTAGCTGACGTGAGAGACAAGCCTGAACATTCATAAGATGAGTAACAACAAAACCAAGAGGGTTATGAGCAACTTTAATGCTGATCTTACATGTTTTGTCTCCCTTTCTGTATCTTTTATACCATCAGAAATACCAATTAATTTTTCTGCATGAAAGAGTTATTCTTCCCAACATTTGAAAGGTTAGGAATGAAAGAAACTACTGTTTCCCTAATCCCTCTGTGAAACATCAAGTTGCCAGCTCAGAGCTCTCATGCTGACAGTATGCTGGGAATAGAGTTGAGTAAATTTTAATTTCCCAGGTGCTGGGGGTCACAGTAATAAGCCAAGCTGTGCTGGAAATGGCATGTACAGGTGTGAATAGAGCTAAATACTGGACCAAACAGTAGGATTTTCTTCTCTTGATGGTTGAAAGAGGTCCACCTCAAGTAGCAGGAGCCCCCTAAGGAAGGGGGAATAATTCTCTCAGAAACCTCTTTTCTTTGAAAAATGTTCTTGAACAAATGGCTTCTGGAAAGTGATGCCACAGTAAATGTCCCCCACTGTGTTTCCTGAGTCTCGGCTTGTACAGCCAACAACAACCAACACTTCTGCTCCATCAGGCTCCTTCTGTCAACAGTGCTTACACAAGCTTTTCTACCTTAGGAAAAAAAAAAAAAAGAGCTGACATTGTGTTTATGCTCATCATTAACATATAAGTTCCTGATACCGGTGAACTCTGGTGGAGCTACATCATACTAAGTCCCTCAGTAACTTCTAACAGGCAGAGCTGCATGCCCGGTCCTGCCTTGGTTCTCACTTTCCAGCAAGATGCAGGGAATGTTACCAGAACCTCTAAAAATCAAAAAAACGTGAACTTGTGTCACTTTATTCCTGAACAACTCATATACAAGCAAATTATAATTAAAGGCATGAACGGTTCATGCGTTATCTCAGGCCTGCTATGCTCCTTCTCCCATCCACACACAGTGGTATAGATGTAGTTATTTAGGAACAAGTATGCCAGGTCATATTCATTTGAAGTAAGAACATCTGCAGAGGGAATTGATCAAGAACAGATAGCAAAAGTGTGAATTTGTTTTCTTTCTGTCCCCTCCATTTACAGTGAGTCTAATGGCTGCAGAACCTACCCCACATGCTGGACAAACCACTAATTGTTAATACTGGCTTTGCAATATGAAGTGATGGTTCCTTCCAGGCTGTGGGGCCCTGGGTCAGTTCAGGCTTCATTGCAAGACCTGGACCATGAAAACAGCAGTTCTGTACAAAAAACAGATGAGCTGCTTTGCAGATGGGACTTCCAAGCCAACAAAATGTGCTGTGGGCGATGCCTGTTGTTATGTTGACTTTCTCAAACCCCTGCCACAGCTGGTGATCTGTCAAGATCACCTAGGAACGTTCTCAAGTACAAGTCAGAGCATGAGTGTCTACCCCTGCAAGAGGTTTTCCCCATTTCTCTACCTATGCTATGGATAATAAACTTAATCTGTAGGGCCCATAGGTGTGCCTAGCTCCTTACAGGAATTTAAAGATTGGCAAGCATTAACTTGCCAATCTCATTGCAGCAAGGTACCTTAATTAACATATGTTTGTAAAACACTGATGATAAGCCACCCACAGACATGTGCCACATATTACTAGTATCTGTTTAGACCCCCTTGGAAAAAAACAAATCCAACAAACCCCTACTCTCATCTGCTGATTGAAAAGCTGCTACCTGGAACCGGGGTTTTGCCAGGGCCAGCTCAGCTGAACACAATAGGCATAGTTATCTGTGAAAAGGACCATTAAACACTCAAATGGCTGTTAAACATGAAACCAGCTTTGGGCTGGGAGGGGCACAGTTTGTCCAGTCAGTGAAAAAATAAAAATATACAAAAGAATTAATTATTTCTAGGTGCCAGGCACAGCTATTGAAAAAAACCCCAAACTTTCCCAGTTCTTGCATGGTCTGTAGAGGCATTTGAGCAGCACAGAGGATGTGAAGTTGCACTAAATCGGAGTGAAAGGATTTTACAGCTTCTGGGTCTGACTGACCACACCAGTCACTGAACAGGATTACAGGGTGTGTACGACTTTTTCGAGCAAGGAGCTGAGGAGATCACACACCAGAGCAATGCCTCTATGGAAAGTTTTCTGTGTTTCCCAGCAGATTCGGTTTTAACAAGTCTGCAAAAGTTGTGTGTATAGTGTGTGCTGGCGGAGGGGAGCAGGTGGAGGAGGAAATAACTGCTGAATTAGAATGCAACAAAACCAGAAAGCAGCAAAACTAAGGGCAGGAATGAAGTTTCTTACACCGTTTACCACTTTCCACAGGGTGCGTGTCAGCTCGTAGGATCTTTTCCTGGGTGGTCTTCCCTGGAAACTTCACCCACATCCGGGGTGGGTGACGAAAAACCTCGTCATTGCCTCCACCTATTCAATGCAAGCTCCTGTAGAATCACGGCTGGCTTGTTTTCTTGCCAGAGGTGTCCTTGTCACTAACAAGTCATTTCCAGACAAAGATAAATAGGAGAAACAGCAGTGTATTGTCTGGACTCTGGCTACTTGCAGTTCAGGCTGGATGGTGTTGAGACCACAACATAAATTAATATTAATGGCCAGTCTTCGCGAGCGAAGATCCGGGGAAGGTCTTTCCACCTTCCAGCCTGCGCATTGGATTTTTTAGGTGAGACACAGTGTGCGCGGAACTGAGCCCACCCTTTAATCCTAAGGTTCATCTGCCGGGGCCAAGCGAACTTGGACAGTGGCAGTGAGGTCCTTAGGACGTAGGTGGGTTGCCTTTAAGGGCTAACGAGCCCCACCTACCCGGGAGTGGCCCTGACCGGGAATCGAACCCGGGTCTCCGCGGTGATAGCGCGGCGCCTTTACCCCCTAGGCCACCAGGGGCTCCAGACCACAACAAATAAACCCGAAAAACACCACCCCATAAACAAACGCACTGGCCTGTGCTTAACTAGGGATACCTGCACACACAGGAGGGGTGGCTGGAACAGAATCACGACCTGCCTTCCTCTGAACCTGGGAATGAGACCTGTACAGGACAAGGCGAAACACAGGTAGAGAACCCCAACTACGGGGGAACGGAGTGCGGTGTGAAGGGGTTTAACTCCATCCCAAGCATCAGCTTTGGCAAAGCGTAACATGACTGGCAACAAGCCGTAGGGAAAGCCCTGCCTGGAGGATGCCGACCAACTGGATGGCCAACACGCTCCTCCTTTGGATGGAGAGCCGTGGCGGGCTCTCTCCTGCCTTCCAACCCACATCCCGAGCCAGGCCCTCCGCCCGCCTGCCCCCGGCCCAGGCGTGAAGGTGGGCAGAGGTGGCTCGTCGAGGCCGGGCCGTACCTTCTGCGCCTGCTGGATCATCTCCCGCACCACCTCCTTCAGGTGCGGCGCGCTCTCCTCCTTGCGGGGGTGCGTGAAGAGGGACACCCGGCTGATGCCCCGGTAGAAGGTCTTGTCGGTCCATCCCAAGTCCAATGGGGGCACCTCCGTGTCGGAGCACTCGGGCCAGTAGGCCAGGGAGAGGGTCTCGCCGCCGGGCCCCCGCGCCACCTTGCCGCCCTCCCGGGGGTCGTCGTATCCCCGCCATCCGCCCCGCAGGTCCTGCAGCTCCCGGCTGGAGAGGAAGTCGCGGAGCTGCTCCTTCCTCAGCGCCTCCCGATATGCCGCCTCGCCGCGGGTCACCAGCGCCTCCAGGGCTCGGCGCTGCTCCTCGCTGTAGTAGAAGCGGGCCTGGGCCTCCGTCACCTTCTCGTTGACGTGCAGCTCGTCCAACAGGAGCACCTGGGACTCCGCCATGCCGCCGGCACCCCCAGCGCAGCGCCGGCCGGCCGGGAGGGAAGCGAGGAGGCTGCGGCAGGAGGGAGAGGCAGGGCCGGGACCGCCTCACCTGGCCTGCCCGAGCCCGCCCCGACGGGTGGGGCGGCCGCTCCCCCGGGCCCTGGGGACACGGCTGTCCCCGCCGTCCTGCCCCTCTCCCACACCCCGACGTGGCCTCGGCCTCTGGGGACGGGGAGCACGAGCTGGGGAGAGAACAGTTTCTGGGAAAAGAAGAACAACTTGACTTAAGGGATACGATGAAGGGGAATAATGGGATAAAGGGAAGAGACGGGTTACGTGTCAGCCCACACCAGTTTTGGAGGGATGTGGGTTAGAAATCTTTAACTAACTTGAGAAATTGTATCCTATGAGTGTATCCTATTTGTGTCCTATGTATCCTAATTGTATCCTATGAGCGAACTTAGAGCATTAAAATGGGAAAACCACACCTGCCAGGGAAGACCCTCACCCACTGAATGCATGAATTTGGAATGCCCTGTACCTTTAAACAGAGGGGAGGGAAAGTGAAGGCAATAGCAGCTTAGACAGAGTGATGTAGATTCATTATGCAAATAGAATAGAATTATATAAATATGCTTGTATATGTATACATATGTATACATTGTATATGTATGTATAAATACACTTGCTAGCTTTGTAGATTTACCACTTAGCACCCATCTCTGCTCAGACTTGCAATAAAAGTAAGTATCTCTATTCTGCGTGTGGATCAGCTTCCACACTGGGTGAAAGAACACAGATTTAGGACAACACACTGGCATGGCCAGCACCGGTGTCCCCAACTGCAGTGCTTGGAGGAGAACCCGGCCTGGACCATGGGCGTATTTTGAGGTGCAAATGCAAGTCTATTGAAGACCATTTCCCCCCCCCCCCATTTTCACACTTGGCAGCCACCTGTGGGGTGCTCATGAGGAAAGGGGGGGATGTGAGTGGGGCTGGGGAGATGGGCAGAGCAAGCCATGGCCCACTGGCTGCAGTGGGCTGCTAGCTGGCCCTCCCCAAAGCCACTGGCAGCTCAGTGACTCCAGAAAAGCAGGCAGTGTGGGTACCCAGCTTACAGAGGGGAAGATGACAGAGCGATGTGCCTGAGGCCGCCCAGCAGGCTGGTGTCAGAGCCTGGAATAAAACAGCCTTACTTCCAGTCTCTGGCTGGGAGTCCATGAAAAAATACCCCTAGCTCCACACATGCATCCCAGCTGAGAGACTAGGGGCTGTAATGTTAAATTATGATTTTTGCGACGTATGTGATCGTTGCTAAGGGCCCTAATCAAGATTCAGGTCCCACTGCGGTTTGCAGTACATACACAATGGATAAAAAGCAGTGCTTTCCCACTGCAGCCCAGGGATGGAGCTGGCAGGGCATGAGCAAGGAAACAAGGATAAAGGCAAAGGCAGTGGTGAAATACAAACATTCAGAGGCATTTGCAGTGCTTTACATGTATGATTAGTATTAAGTGCTCACATGCACAAAAAAATGTAGGGACAGAGCTGCTGGAGCTGCTCTTTTCTCCTCTCCCCAAGCAATCACCTGCCCTCAGTGCCTTAGTTTAAAAAAACAAGGATAAATAGGGGCACCTCAGCTCCTTCTGTACTGTTCCTCTCCTTTAGGTAAAAGGGAGAATTTTAGTATTCCAGACTGTTATCAGTAGCTTTTCCTAGCATGAAATTCACTTAAAATTTGAAATTGCACTTTGCAGAGGTCTACTCTTCTGCCTATCAAGTCCCCTTTAGAAATTAATTTCCATATAGGTTCTTTTAGCCTGATTTCTGATGGAAATGAGACTTACGTGGTCACGGTGTCTGCATCTGTCTGTCTGTCTGTCCTTTTTTTCTGTAATAATTTTGAGCCCACTGTCTGATTTTGAACAAGTTTAGCAGAAGTAATTACATCCCTACAGATTTTGTGAAAATAACCGACCTGATAGCAAATAAAGGCTCTATCACAGTCCCCAACAGTGAAAGTTACAATGTGGGTTCATGTCTTATTATATTTCAGATATTCTATGGAAGTGAGAATGCTAATAAGCACCTGATCTGTAGGAAGAGCTTCAAATTAATTTTATGCCATCTTAGATACCCTAGTCAATCAACCACAATGTACAAACACACAGGAGATGCAGCTTCGTTAGTTGCAGTGCTCACTAAACTACTTGTTGGTTGTGTTCTTTTTGCACCAGAGGCTGCCATCAGCTCTGCTATTTCATGTGGGGCTAAATAAAATCTCTTTAATCCTAGGTGCTCTACTCATTCATAGCTGTACAATTGTTTGTGTTCAACTAAGGCTCCCACATGAAAGCAACAGTAGGTTCACAAGTGTACGTATAGTTTTATATTTAAAAGCATGAGAACATTTTCCACATCCAAGTAAATGCAGCAAGAGATTATTTTTTTTCAGCTTATTGTGATGAAATATTTGGCCCCAATCTCTCACTCTGGAAGACAAAGTGTTGTCTGTGTGTTGATATGATAAATAGGGGCAAGGATCTTTGCAAAAGCTGAGCGAGACCCTTTCCCAGTGCAAACATGTGTCCTGTCCCATCCCCCTTCCCCATTCCCACAGCAATACATTCCAACAAAATCTATTTCTTATACGGAGATTTTATAATGTCTGACGATTCAGTTCCTTTTGATGAACCCTGGCCCTCTGGCTGACAGCCTCACCTCACAGGGTGGTAAAAGGGCTGTGCAAACAAACTACCCTCTCTGTCACAGAGTTAACCCTTTGTGGCTGGAGAAAAAGAAACTTGGTAGGCAGGGTGAAAAGAAAGACTCCTGTCTGGCCCTGTCCCTCTGGGATTGAGGAGTGAATTCCAGTTTCCACTCTAAAAGAGAGTCATTATTATTTGAACTCAGGTTTTCCTCTCTGCCCTTAGCATTGGCTCAAGAGAAATAAGAGGGGGAAGGCTGTTTTTGAATTGGGCTGAGGCAACTGCAAATCCACACAGAACTGCACTATCAGTTCTTAGATTTGTTTTGTTCCTGGGGATTACTTGCTGGAGGGGCTTCCTATGCATAGGCAGGGTGGGGCCTCTTTGCTTTTCGCCTTTGTTTGGGTGTCATCCCTGCCAAGTCCTGGTTAAGGTCTTGCTTACTTTTCTGGTCTAGTCCAAAATGTTTTCCTAAGGATGTAAACTAACCTATCAGGAAATATTACCTCTTGTTGTAACCCTCCCCCAACGCATTACAGTGTTTTAAATCTTCTGCCTTCAAACACCTCCCACGTATAATCTGGTTATTTGGGCCTAATTGCTTCACTTTCCTTTGCGAGGCAGTGCAGGTTGTGCATTAGATAAAGATATGACACCTTATATTTAGCATTAATTGTAGCTGCACTTGTCCTGAGCATACATCTCTCTTGCCAGTCCTTCCTATGTAATTTCAGTTCCTAAATAGCCCACCTTACGATACATTCTTTGATAAATTTCCCAGCAGTGTTTTTCTTGTGACATAAACTGCTACAAGTCCTTGTTATAAATGTTTGGGTGCTCAACTCTTCAGGAATAAAATTCTGATGCTTTACCCCTCACCTCCATCTTATTTCTCCCAAGAGCAGTCACTATCTACATGCAAAATAAGAGTAAATACAAGAGCAGAGATTTAAAAAAAAAAAAAAAGTATAATTTTGTGATAAAGTGGTTGAGAGCTGTATAGGAGAAGTTTTTTTCTGAGGGGTGGTATCCTCCAAAACAAAACAACATGATTTTCTAAAATGTCTTTGATTCAAACATACTAACTTTTGGATTGGCTTTGTTTGATTGTTTTGTTTTGATTTGGTTTGGGTTTTTGTTTGGTTTTTTTCTCCGTAAAAAGCATCATCTAGTTAAAAATTAGTTTTGCAAAGACATCTCATTGCTTATGTAATGGAAGATATAAGAGAGTGTTTTCTATTTCTGTGTCCCAGCTGCAGGTAAGCCTGAGGTGATGGGGCTTTGCTGCCTTGAAATAGAAGAGTAAATAAGTAGGAGCCTGTGTCATGGTTGTTATTAAACACTATACTCTTTCCCTGTGCTGGCTGGCACCACAGCAAGACTCACAAAAACTTGGTGGAGATTGCACCTTCTTGACTCTCTTCTCTGCAGCAGGATCCAGGAGTTTGTGAGGAGACTGCTACGTGCACAGGGAGCTGTGCTCTGCTTGTCCAGAGTATGAAATTTCATTTGCAAGGGCTGCCAAGCCAGCACAGGAATGAGTGCATTAGTCATGTCCAAGTATTGGCAGAGCTAAAAAGCCTGAAACAAGGTGATTTCAGGGTGGAGAGGAAAAAGCTCTTGCCTTCACCATTCCCCCTCCAGCGACCCAAAGAGCTGCAGGCAGTGGAAGGTAGGTGTGTCACTTCTGCAGCAGCAGTGACAGACTGCAATCTGGAGGATGAAGAAATGCTTTCAGATGCTTCCTTTCTGTCATATTACACTGCCTCGGGGAGAAGACCTAGCCACTGAATTGGAGAATTGCTGCAAATGAGTCAAGGGCTTCTGGCCTCCTACTCAGTTTTTGAGCTGTTGTTTCCATGTGAGAGTAAATAGGTAAAAGAGTCCTCTGAACAGAGCAGAAAGGAACAACTGTGTTCGCGGGCTCATGTCTTGCAGCAAGGTATTTGCTGACTGAGCATGCACAGAAAGACCTTTAACCATTTTCCCTGACTGCTCCCATTCACACAGTCTGAGGCAGTTTCCTGTAAAAAATAATGCTGACCCCAGCCTCTTGCTTAATCTTTCAACTCTCATACAGACAAGGACTCAAAACTGGTTGCAATTCAGCTGAGATACCCTGAGGGCCCTTGGCCAGTTGTCTGCTGTGCTTCAGTTCCCATTCTGTAAAATGAAGAAAAAACGACTCTACTTCACAGGACTCTCTTGGGGGAGAGCTTAAAAAATAAAACCCCAAACCAACATCACCTACATTTACTTTGATTTCTCCTGCAAGAATTGGAGGGATAAAAAAAAGAGCAACTGTAAAGT